CCAATCGACGACAATTTTGACACCCGGGGGGGGACCAGTTCGAGTTCGAGATCGAACTCGAATTCCAATCGACGACAATTTTGACACCCGGGGGGGGGAAGAGTTCGAGTTCGAGATCGACTTGGAATTTCATGTACCCTTCCAAGATGGAGAGTAGAGGGGGGTACGCCTGGATTAGTTTAAACAATTAATCTGACTACCTCCAGAGTGTTTTCAGAAAATTAATCTAGAGGATGTTGAGTCTGGTTTAATTTTTAGGGGGGGCGGAATTAATCCAGGGATACCCCAAGTACTCTACATGTCTGAGCTCAAAGCACTTGCAGAGGTCTCGATTAATTTCTAGGTCTCAAGGCGCCGCAATACAATAACAAATTCCCAATACAGTAAGTGCCGGAATACACACTCACTATAGATTTCCTTCTTCTAAGTATACATCAGGCATTTGACCGGCTGGCTCCTTTCTATGTATTTGTATTTAGTGTTGTTTCTTGTGTAATGGTCATAGCAAGGCAAGGCTTCATTTGAGCACTCTCAGAAAATAATCCAGGGGTGGCTCCACTTCTGCATCACCTCATGATAAATATTCCTCACACCTCCACGTATCAAAATTAATCCACGGTACTCTCAACCTACAAATCTGATAGTAGGATTAATTTCCAGAATGGTTGTACGAGATTATTACCAAAATCCAACCATCAAAAAAAAATAATCCAAGAAAATTAATCCATGGCTCAGTAGTCACCCGGGTAAATTTCCCTAAGGCAGGGAACATGGAATTCCAATCGACGACAATTTTGACACCCGGGGGTGGGACCAGTTCGAGTTCGAGTTCGATCCAAGGCAGCAAGTTCCACAAACTCCCATCTTCTGATAGTTTTCGAGAACTTCGGCCCTCTCCAAGATCTTCAGCCATGATGGACATCAGGGAGGCAGGTTTGTGGAAGCTGAGTCTTTTTTGTAGCAAGTTTCATCAAGTTTGCATAACTTGGGTCTTCCATATCAAAGTTTACCCCCCAAGCCAGCCAAGTCCAGTGACAGAGTCCGGGCCTGCCTTGGCGTAATGTTCAGTGAGTGTTGAGTAGTGCGGACGCAGAAACTTCAAGGGCTTTGGCACCTCAGATTAAAAGGCAGCAAGGCCAGCAAGAGCTTGCCACGCTTGATCAAGCGCGCAACTGAGGTCATTGAGCTTGTTGATTCTTTGAGCTCCTTCACCATGGCCTTCACACGAAGGCGGCACTATCATACATCTTTCCTCTACTCATAGGCATGAGGCATAGAGTAATTATTACTATGGGAGTCCGAGCCTCCATAGCCATCTTTGCAACCCCTTGATCTGAGTCCTTGCCACAACATGTTGGTGCAACAGAAGGAAGCACAACGAACAATGTTAACCCAGGGGATCAGTTTGCAGGCTTGTCATCGGAGGAGCACAAGGCAAATTAAGTAGGGCAAAATGGGCCTACAACATTAAAGCAGCTGGATTTTCAGAGCTCGTGCTTTCAGAGCTCGTGCAACGCTGTATCAAATAATTCATCCATTTCAGTGTGGACAGAGACCAGCTGAGTAAAGAGCAGTATTCTCGCTCTTCACCATCTCACAGTCACATGCGAATAATTACAATGGATCCGATGCTTTGTAGAGCACGGCTCGAATTATCTTCAGCATCCTATAAAGGGATTGCCCTCCAGAACATCTTGAGCTTTTTGAAGCTGTGCATGAATACAGTATATCTTTCTGAATAAATCCGAGATCACATGAATGAAGTCAAATAAAGCCTCGGTACAGATTTGGGATCGCAAGGCTCAAAGCATTAACTAAAGCGACAGGTTCAGCTGAGAAACGCAGAGTGGCGTTCAAGGGCAGATGGTCTGACGGCTCATCATTATTGGGAAAAGGACTCCTCACATCCTCTTTTCGCAACAGCTTCTCACCTCCAAACAAAAACATGTCTGTTTAAGACCTATGTGCTATCGCAAGGCATGGATGGGTGCAAAGTGCTCATCACTGTCCAGTCACATGCAACCACTTTCAGCTTGTCAGGGCTGAACCAAATGTAGTCCTTGGCCAAACTGTGGCAAAGCAGCATAGGGTAGGGTCGGGTCAGGTGATAGGATAGGATAGGATAAGATAGGGTAGTGCAGTAGTGGACCATGTTTCATGTTAGCAAACATAATGTAGAGCACCAACACAAATAGATGCGTGTTCTCAAGCGTAAAAGGCGTAAAGTGCAAAAGCATGCACAGCGTGACCATGGGTCCAGCGTACCCATGAAGGGCTCCCGTTGTGATCCAGACAGAGCGTAGTTTGTGAACAAAGGCTCTTGGCCGTAGAAGGCCTGGACTCACAGCGTGTGCCTCTGTCTGCCACAAGGTGCTGCAGTATGTCATCATGGCCTTGTAAGCACTTTGGAGGCTCTGAAATTGGCAGGAAGGTAGTCGATCCAAAATGTTCACTTCCTTCACAACCTTGGGTGGAGGACTGATACGAAGAAGCAAGGCAAATATCGTATTCAGTGTGCATCTACCAACTAATTCTAATGGTATCTTTGCAAGACTTTCAACATACTGAAACTTTCACAACTGCATGAACGTCTATGATTCATGACATGTCCTTTTGTTGAATTTTGTTGCAAGGTGTATGACACTGTTCACATGATCCTTTGCGAAGTGATGCTTGTAGGCTTGAAGGTGGTCGTCATCTTTCATCAGCCAATCAAGGACAGTCATTGTTTCCAGCATACCTTCTGTTTGCTCCGCTGAAGACTCGCTCCAGCTGAAGCACACTCCGCACCATAGCTACCCTCTCGTTTAGAAGGTGGATAAGCAAATCTTAAAAAAAACAAACTAATTCTTTTCATGCTCGTGCTGCTCATGCTTGGATATCCTTTGTTCTTTCATGTGCCAGTCATACAAAAGCTATCAAAAGCTAGTAAAGAAGTTGGGAAATCAGCTCACCAAAGATGACCAAAGCGCAAGTTGAGTTGGGACTATGAGCCCCTGTGAGCTGTTTAACATTGAGTCCTCGATTAGCAGCCGCGCCACTTGAATGCCTTCAGCAGAACCTCCCCTTTCAAGAAGCTGGTATGGCGTAGTGCCTGAGCATAGTGAGAAAATGCTGTATATAAAGTTGAAGTGTCAAGCCAAAGACAACACTGCGATAGGGAGGAGCTATCGAACATGTACGTATGTCTGTCACATGAACACGTATGCCGGAGTGTTTTGCTGCTTGAAAAAGGAGGCAGCACCTGGCATGAAGTTGAAGTCGCCCATCAATGCAACTGGCGTGCCGTCAGCAAACTTGCTTAACCTCATGCTCTCGTTGCAACATGTTACAATGCTAGATGTGCTAGAAAACACGAATTGGTTGAGCCACGGACCTGTTCAGCAACAAGCGGCTATGAATGTTGACGGCCCGCACTTTCTCGGTTGTTCCTTGGGCACAAGTGCGATCAACTGCTTGCGAGTGCTCAAATATTGACCAACAATGCTGCTGAGGCACCAAATAAACATGGCATGTGATACGTTCCCACACTGAATACGCTTGAAGTTCCCCTGCGTTTCAGCTTCGCAAATATTGCCTCATTATAGCCTTGGATCTTGGATAGGAAGACAAACATACTGCAGCAAGCAGGTAGTGAACATCCAATGGCTGGCTATAAAATTCATACGACAACATGCACGCAGCTGTTCGAGCCGGAGCATATGGATGGCGCTCAGGCATACCAAAATATTTAAATGAAGACACGCAAAGCAACAATGCTCACCGGTCCTTGAAGTAGCCAAGATCACAACAGCAATTGGCTGCTTAGCTGCTTGCAGCAAGCCTTTGTATCCATATATATACATATATATATATATAGTTTATACAATTGTGTTTAGCAACGGGCTCTCAATCGCAGACCCTTTTAAACTGCTGCAAGAAGTCCTTGGGACCTGCAACCAGCTTGGCAGCCTGGAACTTTATGCAATCTAAACACCAATGGACTTTCGCCCTGGGACGAACCTGGAACTTTATGTAACCTTGAACCTGGAAGCTCTTGTAACCTTGCGGAATCCTGCAACGTTCACTCGAAGCCTTGCAACGCTTCACTTGAAGCTGGGAGTATGGGTCCGTGCTTGGAATTGGAACACTTGGTCTTTGCCAAAAACTGGAATCCTTGTGTGTGCGCAAACTTTCGGACCCATACATTTACCTGCTTTCAAACTCCCACAGTGAGCAAAAAAGACATCTCAAAGGTTTTACTGCACATCCAGCGCTCGCACAATGTGTTCTGTATTACTTACATTTGTCCGAAACAAAAGCAAACCTTGCAGAATTCCTGCAAAGTAAGCTCCTCCTGCAAAGTGTGCAATTAATGATGCAAACCGTGGAACGATTTTGGGCCAAAGTCCATTCGCCGTCGCTGTTCCTGTCCAATTCAGGAGGTTTGCATCCCAGGATCTCCTCTTTGGCGCGGGAAGATATCGCTTCTTCCGAATTTGAGAACAAACTAAAAAGGTGAACAAGGAGGACAATAAATTTGGAGCCTTATCTTCCCCTTTGCAGATCTCAATTCTTAAAATGTTTCGCGATAAAGCAGCTTGATGTGTTTCCCATGGAAGTTCACCGTTTCAGCTGACTCCCTATGCCGGGCCAGCGTCCAAAATGCAGGTTGTGATTGTGATTATAGATGGATGGCAGAAGCTTCAAGTATCAAAAAATCAAAAGCGGTTGAATGTCTGAACCAATGTGATCTTCTGCAGCATAGTGAAGTGGGTGATGCCGGGCAGTGGTCTTCGGGGATGTGACTCTGTTCCTGTCAGTTCTCCACGCTGGCTGTGGTTTGATGCAATCTCTGAGGCTACAAGGAACAAATTTCTGTCTCATCTTGTAGGATCTTCCAGATTGCACAAAAGCACTGAATCCTATGCCCGGCCATTGCTAAAGAGTCTACACACTGCAAGAATTTTTGGCCGCTCCATATCTGCCTGCCCCCATAGTTAGCTATCCTTGCACAACTTATTTTGAGGATGGGGAGGTGACTGACCATCTCTTGGAGGCGAAGACCCTGAACACTTCTTTCAGCACAAATGTTCGGGAGTATCTGAGGCACTGACCCTCACTACAAGTATGACCAAGTAAATTGCTTGACTTATCTAAAGTAGCAGAGCTTTCATAAGTCCCAAACACTTTGTTTCTGTTGTTTGATCGCCTTATTTGATCACCAGTGTAGAAACTCTAGACTCTAGACTCAGTTGACCTGTTGATCTTGTAGACGTTTCACATCCTTCTCTAGCATCTCATCTCATACGATCTGAATCTGGGTTGGTTTAGCTCCAGCGCGCAAAAGAACTTACACTGCATCAACGTGAAGCACACCCTTGGTTGGCTTGGTTACCATTTTGATAGTGAGGGATTGAATCTTCTACAACAACGTGCAACATTTTCCTTGGGTTTGGGGAAAAATTACAGCAGGTTGTCAGGTTGTCACTAGTTCCCCTATCAGTGCGGACAGACTAGGAGTTCTTCCGGTAGTAGTTAAGCACGGGGCTAGATCGAGGTGATGGCCGCCGTGTCCGGCTAACTCGCTGCTATTTACAGTCATGCCTCTGATAATCCTCGAAGCGCATTTCGACTGCGCAGGTTCGCTAAATCTGGGTCGGCGGCGGGCGCTTGTCGCGACTGCGCTCTCGTTTTGGCGCCGTGCGCATTTTCGGACATGGCGGCCACTTTTCGTGGCAGGCGCAAGGGAAGCCTCGTGCTTTGGTGGTCGAAAGCCGACTTTTCGTGACAGGTGCAAGGGATCTAAGCTTTGAAATGCATATTTTGCAGTGGATCGTGACTTTTGGACATGTGGTTCGTTTGCAGATTTCGCGGCAGGCGCCGCGCTTTAACCTCGAAGTGCAGATTTTGTGGCAGGCGCGCCTTGTGACCCTCGAAGTGCAGATTTCGTGGCAGGCGAAGCACTTTGTGAACCTCGAAGTGCAGATTTCGTGGCGCGCTCAGCACTTGTCAGCCTCTAAGTGCAGATTTCGTGGCAGGCACAGCGCTTTTTGTCAACCTCGATGCGCAGATTTCGTGGCAAGCGCAGCGCTTTGTGAACCTCGAAATGCAAATTTCGTGGCGAGCGCAACAACCTCGAAGTGCAGATTTCGTAGCAGGCGCAGCACTTTGTGAACCTCGATGCGCAGATTTAGTGGCATTTCGCGGCGAGCGCAACAACCTCGAAGTGCAGATTTCGTAGCAGGCGCAGCGCTTTGTGAACCTCGAAGTGCAGATTTCGTTTCAGGCGCAGCACTGTGTGTAAAACCTCGAAGCGCAGATTTCGTGGCAGGTGCGTGCGCGTTGTGAACCTCGAAGT